GTGAACAGTAACTTGCCCAAGGTCCCTTACCTGGTCAGTAGGAGAGTATCCAGCATAGAAAACTGGTGGAGGAGCTTTAGAGAGAGACCCTAGGTCCAACCTTACACTACCTTCCCACCTCAGAGGAGCCATCCATGATCTACAAAAGGTAAAGAACTGACATTCTAGAATGATCTCTAATCTAAAAAGATCTAGAAAGAGCTCTGATCTTCTAGTCGGACAGGCTGGAGCGGGGGGGGGGGGGGGGGGGGGGGGGGTCTTGTGAATGTAAGCATTTTGCTTCTTAACCACCAACCAATTTTCATCATAGCTTGTGGTGACTTTTGAAAAAAAGTCTTTCTCTTCACCACTCGAGTCCAGCTTATTTTGTAGGAGTGTGGTGCATGCACTTACAAGGACATCATTTAGTCAGGGATTATTTTGGGGGAGGTTGAAGGCTGGAAAAACATGCCCATCAGGAGAAGAGCCTTTAGAATTGGGGGAGGGGGAGTTCTGGACTCACTCTCATGCCCCTGCAACACCTTCTTCCCTTCCTGGGCCCACACTTGCTTTCAGAAGGGCTTTTTTGTGTGATTGGTCTGACCTGGTAGAAGGAGGGAGACAGTCCTAACTCCTGGCTGGGAGGGTTGCCCCTTAGCCCCGTGCATGGTCAGGACCAATGCTGTGGCCAGTAGGTGGTCTGATAGTTGTTTGGAAATGCCGGCATTGAGCCTCTAGTTCCTTCAGCTAGACTTACATCCTTGTTGATGCTCTGCTAGGCTTTGGTGACACAGAGAGGGACAAGTTGCAGTCCCTGCCTTTTGTGCACATTTAAGTGTGGATTTCAAGCATGTTCGTGCCCTCTGCACAAGGAATTACAGGGCACAGACTAGAAGGTGATGCCTCCCATAGGAGGGGATTCCTGGGCCCAGGCCTGACCTGTGAAGAGGTGTATGCTCCCCGAGGGGGGCCCTGGGTATCTGCAGAGGACTCTGTGTGACCACAGAGCACACTGGGTGAGCACAAAGCTGGTTGAGAGAAAGAGAGAGTAGAGTATGAGAGGTTGTGGCATAGCTACCGCTGGAGAGGTCAGCAGTGGCAACCAGTGCCAGCCTCGAATGTCAGTGAAGGAGCCGGAACTTGGCCCATCAGCTATGAGCAGTGCTAAAGGGTTTTTCACCACAAGGGATCCGGTCCAAGTTTTGTGCTAACTGTGCATTCTGACCTGCTTCCATTGAGTCTTAGTTGGGAGGGAACCCCGAGTTGGCTGCCTGTGGTCTCCTGGGAGCTCAACCCCTGAGTGCAGGACTCTGTGAAAGGAAGGAGCCCATCATCTGACCGTTTCCTGCCAGCTGCCTTGCTTGGCAAGCAGGTCCCCAGGTGATTCTCCTGTGGGTGGTCTGAGCACCACCTCAAAGATTCAGTTCGTGTCCTCTATCATACTTACTAGTGTATTTCTTATCTTGTTTTATTTTGAGAAGAAAGTCAAGAGAAAGAATTTTCTTTCTTGATACCTTTCCACCCACTGAGTACTTTTTATTCATGTTGCCAGCAGAGAATGGAAGGAGCTTTAAAAAGAGCCTCTTTCACAGGCAAATATGGTCACCCTGGCCCAGTGTCCCTGTCCACCCACGGCCAAGACGACGGGTAAGGAAGGACAGTGAGGGGACCACACCAACATCTCACTCCTCAAAACCTGAGAGGCAAAGGAGAGAGAGAGCTAGCTCTGTTTTCTTCCAACTGTCCTGCAGCCCCTTGGATAGTCATCTCTCGTCATGTGGGAGAACTCAGTTCACCAAGGCCTCAATGTGTCCCCACCTTTATCCTGCTTAGGGAGGTGCAGCACCAAATGGACCTGATATCCTGCACCAAAGGAGCTTAAATCCCCCCTGGAAGGACACAGAGTCCTACATTTTCAGGTAGCCTGAACCTTTTATTTGGTGGGAACGTTTAAAAACTTTGTTTCTTTGAGGATAGTTGACACACAACGTTACATTAGTTTCAGGTGTACAACATGGTGATTCACCAACTCTGTACATTATGTCATCACCGCAGGTGTAGCTGCCATGGATCCCACACAACACTGTTGCAATACCATCTACTCTATTCCCTGTGCTGTACCTTTTAGTCCTATGGGTGGGAATACTTTAATGTTGTTAAGCTTTCCCAGGATACATATATAATACTAGCTTGTTGTAGCCAGTTGAAAATTGAGCAGGTGCCCCCAAATCTGCCAGTCTTCTCTCTGCCTAGAACCACATCGAGACACACAGATTCATAGATGGGTGACTTCATGGACGTGCAATCATACGTATGTGTTGTTTCGCAGCTGTTTGGGTTTTTTTTCATACCTAATATAAACTTTTTCTAGGTTAGTGACCGTCATCCTTTTTAATGGCTACATAGTATTGCATTGTGTAGATAAACATTTTCTTTAACTACCCACCCCCCCCGCAGCATTTAAGTCATTTCCATGTTTGCCCCTCTTCCTAACATCTTCGTTCACTCATCTGATTATCTCCTTAGCATAAGTTCTCATATATCATATAGGTCCAAGAGAAGGTATGTCATTTTACGTTTTGATATATTGATGCGAGTGTGTTCTCAGTCCGGTTAGGACAGAAGTATACGCCACCCGCAGGGTATAAAAGGGCCTGTACTTCCTGTCACTGCAGAGAAATCCTAAGTGTCAACACCAAGCTTCCGTAACTGCACAAGGTTATGCAATCACTCTCTCCTGTAGCCCCACGTGAATCAGTGTGGCCACATAACCTACATTTGTGTCTAACACCTTTTGTATTGAAATCTAGAATTGAGGACTCTTTTAAAGCTGCAAATAACTGTAAAAAATCCAGCCCTTTAATCTGATAGGTAAGGAAATGGTGGCTCTGCACGGCCTTCCCAATAAGCAGCAATGCACACGGGACTCCCAGTCCATTGTCCCCTCACCCTTCAGTGTCCCTGTCACACGTTCCACCGTGCCTTTCTGCCTCCCAGTTGCGCAGAGATTGTTGCTTTGCTGGTACACTGAGGCAGGATCGAGCTTGTGCTCCCCTGGCACCAGGTCTGTCTCCATGCTGCCTAGGATTGCCAGAACGGGAGGTGGTATTGCTTCTCCCTGGCCCCCTGGCGCGTCCGCAGGTAGCGGCTTAAGTCTCTGGCAACCACCCTTGGCTGAGGGTTCCTTCCATGCTCCCTGCCTCCCTCTCCTCCTTGTCTCTCTATGACACTGTTTCCAAAGATGACTCTTCACTCCTCTGCCGTCACCTCTTCACAGTCAGTCCTTATCTGTTAAGGCTCAGTTATTCTTTGGAATCCTGGCGCCACATTTCTGGCTCCTGCCTGGTCTCCTTAGCTCAAGGTTTCTCGGCCTTAGCACTACTGACATCGCAGGATAGATAATTCTTTATTGGGGGAGGGGGGCTGTCCTGTGCGTTGTAGGAGGATGTGTAGCCGCAGCCTTGGCCTCCGCTCACTAGATGCCAGTAACACCCACTAATAAGCCAGAATTATCTCCAGACATTGCAGATGTCCCCCAGGGACAAAACTGCCCCTGCTTGAGAACCACTGCCTTCGCTAGACGTGACATCATTCTCCACCCCCCCCC